TGTTAAATATTAGATGGATTAAATGGATTATAAAACTCAGATATGATCATTATCATTGCATAAATTTATTTAAAGTCTTTTTTTTCTCCTCTTGTCTCCTTATGTATGACACGCTGGAACTCATAATCTTGCTTCATGTTCAGTCTGAATTTTTCAATATTATAGTCTAATCTAATCTTAATTTCTTTCCATCCTGGCTCTTCCTTGTTTCTATTTTCTCTGACCATACACTGGCCAGTAGTGAAAGTGTTGCCCATTCGTGTAACATTATGTAGAGAGGGTTAGGTGTAATAAGCTCTATAGCTTCAGCCTACACCTTTTCAGCCAATATTGGTGTGTTTTATTTCTATGTATATTTACTGTCTATAAATAAACAGCCCCAAACAACTAGTAGTACATGAAAGTATGTAGACAGACGTGTCCACATACTTTTGGTCATTTACTGTAGTGTCGTTTGGAGCCATGATCTTCTCTTATATGCTACTTATTAATGTTTGGAAAGAATTGAGTGACTCTCTTAGACTTTAGAGCTTTCATTTGTCATTTTATTATCCGTATAGCACAGTTTCCCAGCTTATGAATAGACAAGCAAGGTCACCCTGACTTGAAACTGTGATTTGTGACCTGTTAGAATTCAATTACTGCACGAGGAAATAAAAAATGTTTTTTCACACGCAGATTTGAGAATCTGATACTGTAATGAAACAGAGGCTTTATCCTGCCTGAAGATGGCGTATTGTTTCTTACATCATAATTTCTTACACTGGTATTTGGGAACGTCTTGGTAACATGAAATCACTCAGAGTTTCACCAGGGGGAGGTATAATCTCAAAGATCAGACAGGGAGTCCTCTGAGTCATCCTGACTGACACGTACAGGTTCACACAACAGCTGACAAACAGACCCTTAATGGAAAAGCCTTCATTAGATAAAGAGCTTAAAGACCACTACATCTAAACCCAGCCTCAGTCCCAAAAGACAAGCTAACTATAGGATCACTGAGCTATGTGGAAGCAGGACACTGACACTTAATACAGTGTACAGACTGTTACTGAATACTGATAATATGTTACTGCTACTACTGCTGCCCAATTTTGAATTGGCACTAACTCTAATATTGACACTGATATGTTAACTCATACCAAAAAGGCTAATAAATGATGTAAACACTAATTCTATTACCAGCAGGAATATCAATTGTGTTAACATTAATAATAACACTACACATTTTTAGTATAACATATAGAATTTTTATTTCAACCTTAATGTTACATTTAACATTATATAAAAGACTTTATGAAAATATCATGTTGCATATTATGCTAATTTCCTTGAGCTAACATAGTGATACTGTCTAACACAAGTGCTACTAATGATCTAGTTAATAATAATGCACCTAATATTCCCACTTGAATTACTAATATACTTTTAACATCATAATATGCTAAAATTCATTTTATTCTCATAGTCACTGCTTGTGCTAGCTGAGCACACATTAGAGCAATTTAAAGCATGGTTATAGTGTAGGACGGCCGTAGAGACAATCTAAAGTGTTTATGGACATTAAACAGCCAATTTTATATTCACGCCTACTTGATTATTTCACTAGAGACAGGTTTAAAGCAACAGTTCAACATTTTCTCTTGCTGAGTGTTAAATCAGTAGCTAGAGATGATTGATAGCACTCCCATGCTTAATATAAACACTGAAAACAGAGGGAAATAACTAGCCTTGCTCTGTCCAAAGGAAGCAAAATCCATTTTCCAGTACCTCTCAAACTCCCTAGATACCACATTACATCTTGTTTGTTTAATATGTAAAAACCAAAATGTGAATTATGGTTTTATCAGGGGTCATGTGTGGGACTATTTCTTAGCCGGGAGTAGTCAACGTGGTGGGGTGGGGTGGGCAGACAACAAGCAGAAACTCCTGAATGTCACTGAACCCAGACAAGAAATAGTCCAGCACATGACCCTCCAGTAAAACTACAACTTGATACTTTACAAATTCAGCAGTTCTCCCCATGATGACTAAACTGGCCTTTACGTGTAGAAGTGGCGGAGTTCCTCTTTAAAACACATACGCATTGGTATATTCTACTGGAAGCAGCAAGTTTTCAACACAGTCATGGGTGAATGTGAGGTTGAAAGGACACAAATGTGTTGAAATAAGATGAGAATATTAGGGAACACCCCAACAAAACTACTTCACTTGTTACTCACAAACAGCTTGCACAGCTGTTTGCCATTGAGACTCATGGTTTGGAAAGAGATGAGGTTAGAAATCAGACTCAGGCCAAGCAGACAGCTTCAGGCTGTTTCCGTAGGAAGGTGAGGACACATGAGCCTGGCGGAGACATGACTGTTTGACCTTGTCAGGCGCTCGGCACATCTGTGTGTCTATTTTCATTAGTTGTATGTTTTGTATTGTCATTCAAGGGCTTGTTGTTCCATATTTTACTCTTGGCTGCGTTGAGAACAACACATCCGCTTTAAGAGTGGAAACACGATGCTGTGTTTGAGACAGAGCTCTTTCTGTGGCCTCTTTCATTTGAGATTGTATCAAGCTATTGTAGTGCTGATGACTTAAACTCTTTGTTCTTTTTATGGGTCAGAGTGGGAAGGCCAAGAATTAATTTAGTTACTTAAGGAGAGTAGGAAGACCTCTCCCCACAGCACTTTTCACTGCATGAACATGACAGCAGTGACGCTTATGGGAGATGGTGTAAAAAAAAAAATTAAAAAAACAGTCAGGCTAACCTCATGCCAGCAGAGATTGAATCTCGCCAAAATTTAAGTGGCCAAGGAGATAAGAAAGAAGGAGGATGGTTAAGGGAAAAAGCTGGGAGTCGATCTTAAATCAGCTGTAGCATTTTAGATCCAGGGCTTAGCAGCATAGGAATAATGTTTATAATCAAAATAAAAGATACATTATATTATATTATATTATATCACATGTTTTAAGTAATGCCTAACTTAAAATGCACACAGATGAGCCACCATAGATATTTAAATAACATTTTGCTGAAGAAAGGAGGTCGAACTCCTTATAAAATGATCGGGACAATTAAGAATCATTTGGGCCGTACTGCTTTCACAATAAAAGTCTTGAGGCTGAGCCTGCTGCACCCCAGCATAGCGTGATTAAAAACTGACAAACCTACAGACATACATTTATGATAAACTTTTAATTAAAGTCACCTTCTATGTGTAATCTACATGCACCTGTCAGATCAAAAAGATGGATTTCCAACAGACATTTTTGAAAAAAAAAAAGAAGAAAATTGAAGATAATGAAAAGATCTATGCCAGAGTATAAATTACATTTAATTCTCAACCTCAAATCCCACTGTGGATCTACTTGAGCACAATTTTCTCATTATGAGATTAAGATTTTTACATTCAAAAAGTGGGTTAGATTATAGACACTAAATGATACCAAACAGTGAATACAAGTAAATCTGAAATCATCTTTCAAATGAGAGGATTTGTTGCTTTTCTTTTTAATTGTTTCAATAACTTGTTTTTTTTTTGGTTTTTTTTTTTTATAATTTTGAGTTTTGGAAACAAAACAGGCATCATGAAGGGGTCACTTTGGGATCTGGGCACTTCTGACTATTTTCTGAATTTTTACAAACCAAACATACAATCAGTTAATTGAAAAATTATCAGCAGGTTAATCCATATTACAGATGATCATTAGTTGCAATCTCATAGAAAACAGTTAAAATGATCTCCATCTCAACCAACTAGTACTTTTGATACTTTAAGTATCAATAAATATTCCTGAATATATTTACGTGCTTATATTAATTTGTGTGGTATTATTGCTTTTACTGAAGTAAAACACCTGAATACTTCCTCCACCACTCTTTGCACATGGATACTTATGAAGTTGAGTTATGATGTTCCTGCCATGTTTTCCAGGGACACTAACTCCTAACTTGCCAGCACCTATTGTAGTAGCTACATTCCCAAGCCTGAAAGGGACAACCCTTCCTTAAACAAAATAAACTTCATGACATGTCATTGTGTCAGAACTGGGCGTCGTTTTTCCTGGCCATAGATTTATAAGTGACTGAAATGGGCAGGGAGGAGGAGGTGAGGAAAGTAAAAAATGTGACGAGAGATAAAGTAATCAGTGGAGTATAAATAGGGATGCACTGAGGAGATGCTAATTTACAATCAGCTTACTTTCAAACAATCAGCTTGCTCTATTTTGTTTGACAGTTTTCAAATCTATATTGTCAGATACGCTCAGTGTTGCTGAGCAGGTAGTAGTGTACAGTTAGCGTTGTGTTGGGAGCTGGTGGTTTTGACAAAGAGGTTCTGTTTTAGTTTTGCGTCTCTTGAGAACCAAAGCAGTGAGTTAAAGTGGCTGAAAGCTCCACAAAGCTGCCAAATGTTGTTGATCCTCAGTGGTATCAGCAACCACAAGCTTTTTTTTTATATATAACCATCAATAGTTTACTTCAGTATAGATATTTAAAATACAGCATCTTTGCATCATTTTGCGGAAAGCGGGACTCTAGGACCATGGAGGGGCATTAGCCAATCAGCTGCAGTCAGCCGCAGGTGTGCGAGACTAGCTGCCTCCACAGTGTCAGTGACTCAGACTATGGTGTGTTTTTTGTTTTTTTTTAAATCAATGATGTTTTATATTCATTTTCAGCTCTCAAGGTATCCAGCATGCCAACAATGATAATGCTAACATGCTAATGTTCAGCAGGTAATCTTTAGCATGATCACTGTCTTAGCTTAGCATGGTAGCATGCTAATATTTGTGATGGGAAAGTCAATGTCCATATTTGGTCATGAACTAAAGTATTTGACAAATTAAAATCCATTCATTAGTTGTTGAGGTATTCGAGTCCATACCAAAGTGGTGGACGGACCAGCATACCTCCAGCCACGCCCCAACTGTGGTTAAAAACTAAAAAGAAAGTTTATTAAAGTTGATCATGTGACACGTTTAAAATAATGCAATGACACACACACACATCTGTTTACCATGTGGTTTTATTGAAACCCTGGGTTATCCTTTCCTAAAACACCGATGTGGTAAGCACACTTAAAACATGAACAGTGAAATATAAAAAAGTTAGAGAATATAACAACATCTAGAGAGAGAGAGAGACCCATCTTCTTTGGTCTCTTTCTCAGATCTTTTTTTTCTTTTTTTTTCTTTTTTTACAGCAGTACAAAACCAATAGACCCAATCAACAAAGTGTGTAAATTAAGTGGTGTGAGTTTTGTGTTAATAGATGCTTTGATATCCAGGGACACCAAGACTTTAAACACACAGGAAATACTAATATTAAGTGCACTTTAACCATACTTGTTTTTTAAATCCACCATCTTGCTTATGTTCTTTCCACATATATATTCTTGCTATATGATTGTAGCTTGCAGATACAGATACAAATATCTCATAACAGGAGCAGAAAGCTAGCCTATAGCATTCATCTTAATATCACCTAAACAATTTTTGCACTACTTCAAGTCTCAAAACATTGGAGCCGAGTAAAAAATACTGATGAAGGACACAACCCAAACAGCTGCACTGCGAATTGGTTTCGGGAAACCGAAACAATCAATTACTAATGAAACCATCAAAAAAAAAAAACTTTCTTTGAACTTTCTTGGGTTGCTAATATTGAATTTTTCTTTTTTCTATATTTCATCCATTAGCAGTTAAGAGAAGTGCTGCTCGGCAGTTTTTTTTATAAGTGGAATCAAATTTAAAACAAACTTAAGGCAGAGCATTGACATATACATTATGCAAAAAAAAAAATCATACAAAAACATTATAATAAGCCGCCATTTACTTTGGTTTTTCATCATGTGTCATCACGGACTATGTTTACATGCACACTGTATTCTGGGTTTAGCTTGTATCTTTGTCAGAGTCATGTTCGGGAGATTCTGTTAAAAGCTTACTCATATCCAGACATCCCAAACATCCCTGTATACATGAAATAATTGCGTATTTTAAGTCTTATGATGGGCACAGGACTTTGACATTTTTGGCTTATATCAGCATGTTCCAGCAATCACATTCAGGTCTCTCATAATCAAGATAAGAGTCTATACAGGTCACTGGAAGCAATGTTTGACATTTACATGCTCCAACACGTGGGGCCTCACTAATTTAAGGGAATATTGTTGTACGTGTAAACATAGCCATTGACCTCAACCTCTTCCTCTTCTCTCCCCCTTCTCTCTCTCTAAGGTCCTAAGGCTGGCAGTATACTTCACACAAAATCAAATCTGGCAGGTTTGGGACCTAAAAAAGCATAAGTTGGATTTGATGATTCGGGTTGGCTGGATGGACTTTGAAAAGGCCTGAAAATGGCCTCTTATTGTATTCTTACTATTTTGATCTACCAGAACTATAGCAAAAAAAAAAATTACAATCTTATTTTCAGAGGAAATTTCAAACAGAGTGACCATAATCACAACAGACAGGCTCCTCAGACCGGTGTGGACACCATTAAACAAACAGACACAGTGAGTACACCCGCATCTGCTCACAACACCGTATTTGGCACCAGTTTGACAGCCTTTAAAAACATGCCACATTGAATTTTATTTGGAGCATACTGCTGGCCTAACATCCGTCCTCTTCCCTCAAGCACTGACAAACACCAGGCGTGTGGAGTAGATCAGGTCGGCCAGGTAGAGGAGGAAGTTCAGAGCGGTGAGCACAGCCACCGCCATGAGCTTATCCCACACACACAGCCCCTGGGTGCTGCTGCAACTGGACGGCCTTTGTTTTGTTCCGCCGTGCTTGGAGTCAAAGTTGAAGATGGGCCAGATGATGGTCGCTGACAGATAGAGGACCACAGCCAGCAGAGCATAGGCAGACAGGAAGCGGGCAAACGGGAAAGGGAGGCAGCCGGTGCACTCGCCTATGCAGAGCAGGATGATGGCTGCTGATAGGATGAAGCAGATGCAGTAGACGGACATGCAGTACTTGAGTGCATCGTGACGGTCGTAGAGCACGGGGTCGCTGATGAAGACAAAGATGATGCAGGCCACAAAGGTCTCGCAGACTTTCAGCAGGCCTGGGGCTGTGGCCATGTAGCCGGCCACCTCGCCTGGACGCGCCTTACTGATGCTCACCTCGCTTATGTAAGCGATGGTGGCCAGGCAGGAGAAGACAGTTGACACGATGCGGTAGTTACGGACCTCACTCGGGCCTGAGGACCCCTTGAGGAAGTAGAGGGGGAAGATGATGGAGGCGGACAGGCAGAGCAGGGCAGCGTAGCAGGCGAACGTGATAGGGAAGTTCTTCCACGAGACGGGGGCTCTGGTCTGAAGGCCGAACAGCTCCACCAGGATGATGAGCACTGTTCCGGCGAAGCTGAAGGCCCAGCAGAAGATGCACCAGTCTCCGGTGCCATGGTACAGTCTGCCACCATGCACGGCCACAGAGAAGGCCACACAGGAGAAGACCAGGGCTGCCAACCGTGTCCATAGGAGAGGGCTGGAGTGGAGGACTATAGCCATGGTGGGAGATGTAGTGGGCGATGAGAGAAGGGTGATGGCTCTTTTCTTTATTTTCTTTTGGGAGTCACTTCCTCAGATTTTTACCATCAGCCACTCAGACAGACAGAACTGCAAGAAGAAAAGACAATAAAAAAGTATTAGCAGGGTTTTATGTAATCTTTTCTGACCTTTAGATGAAGTACAAGATACGACCACATGAGGGCAACAGCTTTCAATTCTCCTTAAACAGGCAGAACACTCCTACATACCACTTGCTTAGACACACAATGCTGTTATTGTATTTTTATGAATGGTTGATACAAGCGAAACCATGAAAACACAATTTCAAACCACAAATAATGACTGCACTGTGGTCACACGCGTCACAGCACATTTACATCTGGTCAAATCATCTGGTAAACACTCTGTCTCTTTTTCTCTGGTCCTTTCTGCCTCCCATCAAACTCCAGACTGCTTTCTCAACAGCATTCCTGCGCTTAGTGCAGACTGTTTCACCCTGACATCCTACATGGCCATGTCCTCGGTGACAGGCGTGGCGCCGCAACCTCCACCGACCCCACAACGTGTCTGTCATCGCGCTCTAAACATGACCCTCCTCACTTGTTCCAACTCATCTACACTGCGAGAAGATCTGAAATCTTAAAAAGGCCTCTGAATGTGAATTCTGGACTTTGCTAATGGAAACTGCGTCTTAAAGGCCCTGACAACGTGTTTTCTCATTCGGCTTCTTCCTGTGAGTGATGGGATTCTATGAGAACAGAATTTTTTCTGCCAAAGTTAAAGCAGTTTTTTTTTTTTTATTTCACATAAGAGGAAAGTGATGGTATGTATTTCATAACACCAATCAAGATCAGCTGAGCTGATTTTTAATTACTGCTCAATACTTTGAATGTCTTATTCCAGTGGTTCAATTATTGCTTATTTAGTCATGAATATTTAAGGTTACAGAGAAATACTTAAGGTTTGAAACCAAATTTTCATAGACTTTAAAGAAAGAATGCTTCTACGGTGCCATTAGGTCTGGGTTAGGGTTTGCACTTACAACAAAATAATGTATTAAACTTTTTTTCTTTTGCAATTTTTTTTTACATTTAGATTGTATATTGATTTATTGGAGTAGACTTACTTACAATTTTGAAAATGGTTGTTTCAGTATAAAAAGTGACCACAATAGCCACAATTGACAATTTCAGGACAATGGTAAACGCTTAGACATGGTGTAACAATAGCACAAGTATAGAAGTGTTATAGAGTTATACAGCAATATTTTAAATTAAATTAAGTTAACTTAAGTTTGCCAACAATAGCCAGATAAGCTACTAGTCACAAGGGTGTAGCAATAAAACCCTTGAATATATTGCATAGAGCAATGGTTTGTTTTATTACCCATGAATACAACTTTTCATTTTGCAAGCGAATGAATGAGCAATTTCTTCTTCCAACAGTCACACAGTCTCACTTTAAAGCTCAAGTGGGGACATGTTTTAGCTAGGCCTCGACATCAAATCCTCACATTTGTGAAGATGAAACCAAACACCTAAATTACTTAAATGATTAATGCATTATCAAAATATTATATTATATTTTACCACTAGCTTTGGTTGGCTCTGTCTTTGCTTGACTGACAAATGCCGATAAGGATGAAACACTTTGTCGTTAGTCGCCCGATTTAATTCACTCTTCTCTCAAAGTTGGGTTTTTTTTTTTTTGTGGCTGCTAAAAATCTGACAAAATGGTGCCTAACTCAACTTCAGACCATATAACACCCTTTCCGAAAATTATAGATAACGTCATGTTTTCAACAAGCCCCGGAGGTGAGCAATCAGGTGTGAATGATTGCACTCAGCTGCCCAAAGCAAGGCAGTGAAGGGTATTTCCAGTTTATAAAAAAAGATACTCAAACCGCAACCTTTTCTGCAGATGCACTGACAACTCTGTGATGTAATGATGCTTCTTTCATTAATATAGTACAACATATACTCTTGCTCCTCTATGAAGGATTTGTATTGTATGTTGGAGTATAATGGCGTCTACATAAGTAAACTCTTATATAGACTACTACTCCTGTCTTGAAACCAGCTGATATGTAGTGGAGTCTCTCAGTAAAACAACAAGCCTAGAGAGAAATTTTTACAGTGAAGAAACACTCTGACCCCATTGGTCGTCCTCCCTTCCGTCCCCTCTGACACCCATCGCCCACTTGGCACTTGGCTGTGCTACATGTTCCCAGTTTACACAGAGAGGCAATTATAAACAAGGAGAAAAGGCATGTTAACATTAGTCCCATTAAACACCTATGAAACAGTCGGGGCTGGGCAGAGGGAAAAGCTGAGCAGTGGCGAGTTATGAATGTAAAAGAAAGAGGCAAAAAGAGACAGAAATGGAAAAAGAAATCCTGCAGGATGACTCACTTGAAGCCAAGAGGGAGGGTAGGTGAAGGTTGGTGAGTGGGAGGGGTGGGGTGGGGGGTGAAAAGAGGGAGGGACACGGGGGAAGCCCTGTGCCTCGGCCGCAGAAGAACACATAGTTTAAACACAGTGATGGAGTGGAATAGCAAAAGAGTGAGTCACCGCCGGGCCCCTCTCTTTCACCACCCCCCCCCCATTCTTGTAAGATTTTCCAACTTAATGATGTGTTCCAGATGTGCTACAGTCTGGCTGCTGCTGAACAACTGGTAACTTTGTCATATTTGCCAGGTCCTTTCCTTTCCTCTCCTCTCTTTTCCTTTCCTTCCTTCGCTCCTCATAGTCTCATTCGGCGGCTACGCCCTCTTTTTTCCATCAGTTGTCCCTCTCAGCTCAATACCCCCACTCCAGCTTTAAAGTCAAGGCACCAATTATACCTCATGTAAACCACTCAAAATAAACGTATACAGAGGGGCGTAATGGAAAAATCAATCGGGCCACTCCTGCCGCCATAACTTTGCTGCTTATGGAATCAAGTCAGGAAAGAAATGGGAGAGGAAAATGGCAATCGAGAGAAAAAAAAGAAAAGAAAAAGAAACAAGAGCTCCATGTGGAAAAAAGTGTCTTTACACAGCACAGCATGGAAAACACGACAGGATCATGCAAACAGGGTCACTTCCCCAAATGGAAGAGGTGCTGAAAATAGGTTCACCCATCAGGCTTGCAACAGGACAGCAAACAGGATGTGATACCATCATGCTCCTCCACACAGTCACTCAAACAGCAGGGGAGTGTGTTTCTACACACACACACACACACACACACACACACACACACACACACACGTACGTAGACGTTCAGGAAACAAGTGTTTGTCTCAGGCTGAGAGGTCATGAGCGCTGCTTGTTTGGTTGTCATGACACAACATCACAAACTCAATTTCAGCCATAATCCACTTACAGGGGATCCGTGGGTCACAGCACAAGACAACAAGACAAGCTCTGTTGGCAAACCATCCCAACGTGTGTGTATGTATGTGTAAGTAACAGCTTAATAGAAATATATTAGTTTATTAAGGTGCAACCATTGTGGGTTTTCGGAGGGTGAGGAAAAAGACACCATTATCACCCATTTTTTCAACCTTTTCAAAACATAAAAATCTCAAATATTCAGGATTTTCCCACAGAATACCATTCTTGTCGGCACAGAGAACAATGTGAAACAGCTTTGACACCACCATGAGATACTAAATGTCTCTGATGAAACACATATGATCATTTCTTAAAGGGTCATCGCCTTTTTGCAAGGCAGATTGACTCACCACATCTTCTTGCGGGAGAGGGAAACTTGGCAACAGTTGCTCATTTAAATGAAGTACAATCAGTATCTTGATAATTCAGGCAAGTGAATCACAATAGCCGCAATGTCCAAAAAAGAGAGTAAAAGTCCTCCATAAACTACTAGTTGTGTTTTAGGTTAATGCAAACGTTCATTCATTGACAGTTAGGGTGGGTGTGCCGCCTGCCGCACCCTGCTCCCATCACACTACACTACAGCCCACAAAACACAAACTGACACAAAAACAAACAGACATATGACTGGGAAATACATTTTGTCAAAGATACTGTCAAGAAAATCAACTTGTGAAAACAAAGTTACACACCCTAAAAATATTACAGTAGAAATTCCTAAAAATTTTATAAAATAAAGTTGCTATAAACTCAATAAGAAGCAAATTAAAGTCCTTTAAAACTTAATTTAGTTCTCAACTAAACTCTCAACTGGGTTTTTTTTTTTTAAATAGGCACCTTTCCAAGTGTGAACTCAACGATGTCAGAGTAAAAGCTCTTTCTTTAATCTGTGAAGAATTGTACAGAAATAAAATCAAATAAAATCAAATAAAAGCACTCTGTAGCTGCTGACAGAAGGTCATCATACTTTTCCCAAAAGGCAAAAAAGAGGCAATAAGTTGCAGCTGAAGAAACCCTTTCTTTTGCCCAAGCTTGCAGTAGAACACTTTCCCTTACCGTGAAATCACATCGGTTTTATCTGAAAGTTGGTTATTACCTCGTGAGCTCTTCTGCTGCTGTTCTCTGTTCTCCAGGTCGGTCCAGAGAGAGAGGGGAGTCGTAGATTGCACCTCCTCAGCTCCCTGACTGAATTTACTAGCAGCTCAGGGGAGCAGCTCCCCGCCCAGCAAACCAAATTAGGCATCAAATGTCTGCACAGTTATTCACATCTGTGTGAATTCCTCCTCCTCCTCCTCCTCTCTGCTGCTAAACACACCCAGTGTAGTGCAGCAGAGGTTTACCCTCCTTTAAAATGACATTTCTGGATTAGTTTTGCACATGTTCCCTGGCTGGCTGCGTCGTGGAAATAAATCTAAAGTTAAATTGATATTTTTATATCTCTTCACAATTATATATCTCCTGTATTTCTCTTGAATCCCCCCTTTTCTGTGTTGTATCTATCCCTGTTAATGGAGATGTGCGTGTACGTCTGTTTATCTATTTAATGTTAATATTCACTTGGAAATAGACAAAGTGTGAATAAAACTAAAGGGGAGTTCCCCCTCCCTTCCGGATATTACTAATAAGAATGTCGTCATTTTTATTTTCATTCCTTTCCATCATTGTTACTATCGATACGGATCAGATAAGCTAAATATTTGTCAGTGCTCCGTGTTCTGTGTCATCGCACTCTGAGATTATTTGTATGTGCTGCTTAGCAACCGCCGCAGTAACCCCTGGCAACCATATTTATTTCCTGAGAGTTGTAAATTGGCGAGTGTCCTGAGCTTTAAAAAAAAAAAACCTGTAAGAGAGCGCGAGATCTCTGTCACATGCACATTCTTACGAGACTGCTTTAATTTGCTGAAACTGCACATTTCACTGCGCCATTATAATCTATAGGTTGGCTGTAATGTCAGACACTGGCACACTGTGTTTGTGTGTGAAAGATTTATTCTATTCTGTTCTATTTTTATTCATCACTTATTTACAAAAAGTTGCACGATGTTCTAGTGGACAAAATGAAGTGACAGTGAAAATGACATGATTCATCTCCAAGGTTTTTTTAAACCAGGTTGACTTCCTTTTCAAGAATGATAAAATCTTCTCTCTATATCTCTTTATTCAGATTCTTTACTTAAGTAAAAATAGCAACATTGAAAATGTTAGTGAAGTAAAAGTATGTAAGTATTATATGATATTTACCCCTTGTGGTTATAACATTTTTCATGTAGGATAATTGATTTGAGACATTGTCCATGGACACTAGAGTTTGGGATAGGTGATTTTATGTTGAGCTGTAACCAGCTGTGTAGATTTAGCCAAAATTGGATGTGACTGAGCATAAATGAAAAGGTTGACTAATAAAAATTCAATCTGAGATGTACTTGCTTGTAACACAGTAGCTATATTATAGTTGTAATCAGCTATAGGCATATTTAAAATGGTTCCTCATGCAAATTAGGCTATTTCTTAGACTCTATAACTTCTCCTATGAAGAAATTTATATTATCACAATTTTGTTTCGCTGTTTGTCATTCATTATTTTTTCATAAAGTTGCTTCCACTTATTAGAGTCCACAGAAGGAGTTAAAATTGTTGGTTGGCAAATACATGAATAAATATTTAGGGTGGGTTTAGGTTGAGTGGGACACTTAAGTGAGTGGATAGTTCACTGTGTGAGTGTTGATGACCAGTCGCAACAACTGTTGTGTTAGTGCTGAATGCCTGTTGGACAATAAACAGAGGCCTTGATTGGTGAAATGTCACAGCTGTGGTATCACTTTAAAAGTGGCTCACGCAGAAAACCTCACGGTAAGCATGCTGACAAATCTTTTGGAGTGATAAGAAAACAAAATGAAAAAGTTAAAACTATAATCTGAATTCTTCTTTGAAACAACAACAACTTTCTTACTATTAATTTTAAATATACCAGGCTACAGAACAGACTACACACACAAAAAAAACAAATTTAAAACATTGTCCCACTCAACATGACAGTGTTAGCTAATGTGGGAATGGGGATTGCAGGTTGAGTGGGACTATTCAAAAAAACAAACAACCTCATAGCTGTGGGACATGAATCAAAACAAAGAGAGTAATGATGTGTCAATTTATTTTCATAGTACAAGTAGCTACATGAAACAGCAGACGGACATGTACTAATAATAATTCAGAAAATACAACAGCATATAAGAAATCATAATTTAAATGAAATAAATAAATCCAAAAAGTATATTTTTTAAAGAAAAAATAAATACAGGGGTACATAAATAAATTCACAAACAATTAATTATTCAGTCAGAAGTAACATGGAAAAAGATGCTATAATTGTCAAAAACGTAATACTTTTTTGTAGTTTATTAAACCGACTGATTTGATAAGAGGATTTAGTTCTAGGAGAAAAGGAGAAAATTTAGGATGGTTGATTTGGCAGGTTTTTGATTGTGGATAAAGAATTTAGCAATGGTAATTCATATTTTATATTAATTTTCCTACAGGAAATTACATCATACACTTGGGAGAGAGAGTAGGGAGAGGTTAAATGGAAACAGAATATTAAGGAGAGTGTAGAGTTAGAAGAGAGAGCGAGAGAGAGTATATAGTCCTTATAAATGCCAAATAATGTAAAGTGTTATTCAGATATCACCAAGGAGTTTAGTTTTTTTTTTTGTCATTTTATCCGCTGCCACCAGATGACGCCATATTTATTTAAAGTCAAACTCGTAGCTATGACGACCTAGATTCCGCGACGTTTTCGTCAGTTTTCGGGGACCTGTGCTCAGTGGGTGTTCGCAGAAGGTAACATCATGGCGTCAGGAGCAGGAGAGTCGTCCGCTGGACACGACGCAGAACTGGACGAGTTATTGGACAGTAAGAGATGGCATTAAGTATTTACATTCACTTACATGTTAACGACATTAGTACGGTTGGTTCCGGTTGTAAGAAGGGCTCCGATGTGGCACTGGGACCCCCTTCTCCCTCTGTGTATGTATGTGTGTGTGGTTAGCTTATGTGCTCGATGGGACCTCCGTATTGAGTCCCAGATATCGTCAAATTATCGTCAATATTCACCTAAACAAGCATATAAAAGTTACAGGTGGCTTTGTAATAAAGCGCTATGTGATGATAATGTTAGCTACCTTAGCTGTGATCTAGATCCACCGAGCAGTTTTAATACATTATGTCTTTGCCCTTGAATTTGTTTAACCCATAGAAAGTTGGATACAGTTTGATAGTCTTTCTGCACTCGCCTTTGTGAGCTTTTTTATGTGGCGAATACCTTTCTGTTGCAGGTATTGGTTTTTACTTACTGTAAACATGTTGCTGTGAACACCTCACGGCTGCACTAACACTGGTGGAAGAAGTACTCAGATCCTTTACTTAAATACATGTTCCAATACACAATGTCAAAATAGTCTTTACAAGTTAAAGCCCTGCATTCACAGTTCTATTTAAGTGAACGTACAGGGGATTTTTTCCGGAAAATGTAAGTAAAAGTACCGATTCTGCAGAAAATATCCCTTGACCGTGATATATCATCTTATGTGACATATTAGATAATAACACATGCATAAACCATGTCGCCGTGGAAATCTGTAATAAATAAATCTGAGGGGTCATGAGATGATTAATGAGGGTTGGACACAAGCAAATTTTATATTTTCTTTGTTTGCCTTCATGAAGGTAGGCAGTGTTGCAAGGCTGTTGAATTGGTCTGTATTAGTTTTAGTTTTGCCAACTGTATGTACATTTCAGGGAATATTTTTGCTTTATGGGAGTTAAAATGCTATATGTATGTGCAGGAGCTGAATGATTGTTAATCGCGAGTTCAAGCTTTGAAGCGTAATTATTTGCTAGTTTACTTAGTCTGTTATGTATACGTTTGGGTTTTGGACTGTATGTGGGACAAATAGGAGTAATTTGAAGACGTAACAGTGGCCTCTATAAAATTACGATGGACATTTTTCTCTATTTTCTGACATTTTATAGAGAAATCGAGAAATGATTATTAGTTGCAGCCATAGTATGTAGCCATTCCTTAACTTCTGTTTCATAATATTAAAGGAAAGAGTCATCCTGTTAGAGCTCCTGAAGAATGGAAAACATCCGTAGGACTGCTCTAATGTGGCCATAAGCCAGAAACGAGGATCACTTATTGCTACCAGGGAAAAACATTAAGTATATAGTAGGGTTACCGTTTAGGTTTGGACACAGTAAAATCAGCTGAAATATGCTGCACAATATGTTACAAAATGGAAAAGAGTAGACAATTAGAAAATTATTACATTTGGGTGAATAACTGTTAAAAGTCTCTTGACTGGCCGTGTTTCTAATGTCGTCGCTTTCTTTCAGGTGCGTTGGATGACTTTGACAAAACATCGGCCCCTACGGCCCCTGAACCTGCAGCTGCTTCCTCCTCAGCCAACAGTGGCGCAGAGAAGGTCTGTATGTGCACAACAACTAAACTTTTCTTTGACTGTAAGTGGCTAAAACAGTGAAGTTAGTTTGATAGAAGACCTAAAGATCAAGGAATTAGAGAAATTAACAAGTATATATATGAACTGTGTAGGGCAAAGTCTTTGTTTTTGCATTCTCATGATTTTGATAATAGTTCTTTAGGGTTTTGAGTTTCTGCCAATACCATCTATGCCTAGTTTAGTTAAAGGGAAAAAAAGTCTCTTAATAGATTTTTTGGATCAATTCAAGTAGCTGTTTCCAACTCTGAAAGATGGACAGTATTTGTGTTTGTCTGTGGTCAGTAGCCCTTGACTTGGTCAGTTCCTTGTTCTCTTTTTGTGTTTGTTTTCTAACTCGCTGCTGCCACATGTTTCAATCAGCTGGTCGCTGGTTGTGTAAATTGCAATACTTGCAAAGTTCAGTACAACAAACCCCGCCCCAAACCTTCACAGTCCATCAAAAAATACTTTAACAGTTGAAGGGAATGTTTTTGTTGTAGTAACCAAAATTTACATTTACATTTACATTTACATTATAGTTACATTTGCTGAGTTCTTGAAGGTGTGCCTGTGATGTCAAAGGAGTTATTGAGTACTGAGAAGTAACAGTAAAATTTAAAAACAGGTTAGTTACAGTTTAATGCCCAGAGTCATCTCCCAAGTCTCTAGAAAGCACCTTACGGGTTCCCTGTCTCCCTGTGTAGCCACCCCTCCTTGAGGACTGCAAGCTCTTCGAGAGTCTCTTTGAGGGGGAAATGGCTGCTCAAGCCAAGGAGGAGTGGGAGAAGGCCATGACGGAGCTGGCCCAGGAGGAGCCAGAGTTACTCCAGCACTTCCAAAAGCTGTCAGAGGCTGCAGGCAAAGTTGGTAAGGTCATCAGTTTGCACTACTAGCCCCCCCACCCCCACCCCCACCCCCCCAGGTGTGTGCGCTTACTGTATTCTAAATGGTACCTGTGTATTCTGTATAGGCAGTGACACCGCCTCCCAACAAGAATTCACTTCCTGTCTTAAAGAAACCCTCCGTGGCCTGGCCAAAAATGCAGACAACCTTCAGGTGGGTCAAATCAGAATTGTTTCGAAACTGCTCAATGCATTAATTTAACACTTTTCTAACCATATTGTGTTTTTCTTTTCTTTTCTTTCTTATAGTCCACAGGACTAGCTGGGGACGATCTTGTCAAGGCTCTAGAAGGCCTCGGATTGGATGAGGGTGGCGAAGGAGGTGGCGAGGACGGAAACATTCTGCCCATCATGCAGTCCATCATGCAGAATCTTCTCTCTAAGGAAGTGCTTTATCCATCTCTCAAAGAGATCACTGCCAAGGTCTGCCTTTGTTCTAATAGCAGTTACCTTACCTCTTTGTGTCCCTTTTTTATAGCACTTGTAATAACTGTCACTAACCCTCACAGTACCCAGAGTGGTTGGATACCAACAAGCCAAGCCTTAGCCCAGAGGACTACCAGCGCTACGAACAGCAGGCCAACATTATGGGAGAGATCTGTAAGCAGTTTGAGAAGGAGGAGCAGGCGCCAGAGGATAAAGAGAGCACGTTCGAGAGCATCATGGACCTGATGCAAAAGGTAGACGCACAGATTCAGTCCGTTTATATGTTTGTTACAGTGTCTTTAGCCTTGTGCTTCTTCAATATTTGGATTGTGAATCTGCATCTAACCATTACTGTGATAGATAAAATACACACCTACATTAAATTGCTACTACTGTAAGAGGAAGCCAATTGCATTGGCAGTGGATGGCACAGCTTACAAACGGCTGTATTGATCTAACCTTAATGTGAATGGACTTTGGCTCGTTCAGAATGAAACGCATCAGTTTATAATGTTTTTGCTTACAGCTGCAAGACCTGGGCCAACCACCCAAAGAGCTAGCAGGTGATGCGGTGAGTTTCCACTGTTCTCAGTCAACAGAACAACACTGGATGTGTTATATGTGACCTTAGTGAATAGCATGATAGCAAGAGATGTTTCACTGCCGAAACATATTTTTAAGTTCGTTTTCTGATCTCATTTGGAGCAAAGGAGGCTTTTCTGTATTCTCTCACTATATCTAAATTCCACATGGTTTTACCTTTACACGTTCCTCTGTGGATATTTGGTTCTTGCTACAGCCTGTAAACAAAACTCGGGCTCCACAGTGTACACTAAAACTGTATTGTCAAGTACACAGCTGTATTACAAATCCCCGAGTCGGGAATCGCACTCATGTTCGCCTTCATACTTCTCAGTCAACGTTTTCTTTTATGTTCTGACCTGTACTAAAACCATTCATGCATATGTGTTGATTTATTATCCGTTTATTACAGCCAATGAGTTTTTAAATTCTTTAAGTGTTGATTAAAAAAATCAAGTTTATCTTATAACATCACACAAATCCTCTCCAGAAGATGTTTTTAGGACGATGATATTTGTTTGCATAGAGGAACTTTTCAGGAAAAATCAACTCATTAACTGCTTATGGATAAAATAACTAAGGAGGACTGTGTATTTTCAGTTAATCTAGTCAATTAAATAGCCAACAAACAATGGTACTAAATGGCATTAGTGAAAAAATCATATAAAATTCAGCCATTAATGTTCGTTAAATGTATTTTCCTCAATGGCCCAATACACCCACAGATATTAAAGGAAAAGCTATCAGTGTATAAATTATATGGTAAAGTTGACAGCTGATAAATTAATATGATTTCATGGTATCTACGTATTATCATTTTGACCGACCCTTGCTTAGACGTGACGGTATTCTTCCTCTTTCTTCTTCTCCTTTAGCCTCCCGGATTTAACTTTGACATGGAGTCACTCAACCTCCCTGGAGGGCCGGGGGCCGGGGCGGCAGAGCAGTGCTCTATCATGTGATGAGGTAGTGGCGCAGTCCCATCAGAAGCACTGGAGCCAGAGGATCACTCTGTGTGCGTCAGCAATGAAGAAGAAGTGAGGAAAGGGGTGACAGAAGCAGAGGTCGGGCAGGAGTGTGACCAGACCGACGACACTGTTCTCCCTTAAGCAGAAGGTGTGTGGATGGCAGCAACATCGGGAGGAGGCACAAAAACCACCAGGAACCACACACACAAACACACTCTCTTCTCTGTAAAAATCACTGCAACGCACAACTGAGAACATCTTCACATCTCTGCATTAGTTTTTCAGCGGTTGCTACAGCTCCTCCATGGTTTAGGTTTAACAGCATTCCTTTAAAAAAAAAAAAGAAGAAAAATACCACTGCTGTTTTCCATATTGTTTTTACATACTGTTTAGCCTCATGGTAAAATCTATCAAACCACTTCACGGGTATAAACGGTGCCTTTGCAAAATGACTTTAAGTTATTATTTTAGGTCTCATAATTAAGTGAATATTCTGCTATCGCTCAGCTCAGCACCTCAGATCATAGTTTTAAAGTAGTGTTTAAGAGTTTGCAAAGATCATCCAAGGTTTACACCAAGCTAGTGATCATTCTTTGGTATTTAACACACCTCTGTCTCTGTGCAGGCTGGACAGGATTTGACTTAACAAGTTGATGATTTATTAATGTGTAAAGAAACTGGAAAAAAAAAAAAAGAGTGTACATTTGTTAATTATTTAAAGAATTAAAAAGACTAAAGAAGATTGAAGACCTCATGAGAAGTTCCCAGCACTTACTGTAATTCATCCAACTAATATAACAAGACCCATTCCCTGAGTGTTATTCCCCATTCCCAGGTGTTGATTTGAAGTGTTTGAGATGATGATTCCCGGATGCCTTTGCTGTGGTTACAGTGATCATTATAGTGTAGAGTTACTGTGCAAAGTGCTTCCCTTGTGATTCCCCGTGTTTTTAATGTGCTGAGTGGTGTTTTCTTGGGTATGGGGTCCCTGGTAGGAAAGAAAAACACTTGAGTGGTATTCAGGAGTGTTTACCACCTGATAGCATATGCGTATATCCTCTGTACCCTCCATTAAAAGTAAATATTGTTCTTTCCAGAAAAGCTGACAGGCAGAGGAAGAGAAACATGTCTATAATTGATGCAGATGCACTGTTGGGTAAGGACATCAACAGCCTCTTGATAGCACATTTTGGCTGCGGTCGGTTGGTTTGTTTACTCCAACGGCCAGTTTTCACCGGCCGCTATCGCCAGTGAACAAAAGCTTACCGCAGTCACTACAGAGAGGTCTAGAAATCACACGACCATCAGCTCATCAACAACTCTATAATAAAGGGGTACTACTGTGAAAGGATTCAGTCAGCCATGCACTGAAAAGAGATCAAATTTACATCAAACACAGCTGAGGGGAGGCTGCGGTGGAGGTCCATAGCGGGGGGTGCAATCGTTTCAACTCTCAGGGCCAATGCAAACATGCCCAGAGCACCGTTACAAAAATGCAGCCTGTCATTTGACACTATTTTGTTTTGTTTTTGTAAATATATGAAATAAAATAATGATATATTGCAAATTAATTTTTGTTGTGAATTATTATTCATTATTGCTTTCATTTCATCAGTGCAGTGGTAGAATATAAGGAAGGTACTGTGCAGTTTTAGGTACTTATGTATTCCAGTTTTTGTTGTCTTATGCCTCCATTTCACTACATGTCATACAGGTCCTACAATTTAGGCAACTATAGTGACAGGTTACTTTGCAGATGATGAAACTATGTTTGGAATATAAAATATGATGCCTGGTTATATCATAAAGTTTTATTTGTCATTTCAAGTGCACAAAATTGAGATTTAAGACCAGAACATAAAAGCTTTGAGAAAAAAAACATGTAACGCTGTATGTAGGTCCATGGACGTGTGAAAAGCTGAATAGTAAGCTGAGTAAGTAATACTGCTTTAACTGCGGTATTGTTAATTTTATTGTATTTTGAAAAAATAAAATGTCAATTGAAGGTCCACTTACTAGCTTTTTATGGAGTTTTTTTTGTTGAGTTTGTTTTAATTATTCTTCTACCAAGCAAACTCTATCCACTGATGAAGACAATGAGATGAAGATGAAACTCCAGAATAAACAAATAAAGTGGACCATTTAGTTGTGTGTGTGAGTGTGTGAGAGAGGTTGTCAAACCACTTTTTCCAAGGTCACTGATGAACTTTTCGCGCTCAACATCTAAATGCTTCTTCCACCACTAGTAACAGTACAGGAATAGCTGACATTCACAGTTTAGTCTTGATTTGGGAAACAGCTGAAGGAGTTTGGAAAACAAGCTCACCACAAGGTCCACTTTGGTAGCCACTGTGCAGCAGCTTTAAATCATATCACATGATCTTCATCAGCAGATGGAATTTTGTCAGTTGCCATGGAATTGCAGATGTTCATGTTTCTATTTTTTTCTGAGCACTGAAAAAAAGCACTTGAGATTCATATATTATGACTGAAAGCTCCAGAACAGCTAGGCTACGAGACAGACCTTGTTTTCTCTGGAGCTGCTGTTCACAGGGCCATGAAAGAACTTTGAACTTCGCTTCAGCAGTCTTTAAAGTGCACAGAAAAATGGAAATGTGAATATTTACATTTCCATTGGCAAACTCTATCTGCTGATGAAGATCTTGTGATATTACAGAGACAGCTACTAAATGGACTTAGTAGTGAGACAGTTTCCTCAACAGTACAGATATGACACTCAATGGTCTCATCAATTCATTTTATATGGGACCCTTTTGCGTGTTGCCTGTATAGAAATTTGCTATTTAGATATGTTATGTTTATATTTTCCCTGCGTGCCGCTTGTCAGTTCAGTTCTATGTGTTGTATTTCTATATGCCGCCGCCGTGGCGCTTTCTGCGTCAGATTTTTACTTCACAACTTTATTGTTCACAGCCGGAAGACAGAACGGGCTACGTGTCAGGAAAAAGGAGACTCGGCTAAATGGGCGAAGGCGACTAGGCCGTCTGACTTCACCTGTTTCTGGACTATTCATCTGTTTTTATGCTTGTTGTGGAGTTTTATTTTACCGGAGCATTAAAATTACGACCTTTACAACCGCCCAGTGACAATGTTAACGAAATTTGAAACGAAGTCGGCCCGTGTTAAAGGTAAGAGACTCGGTTAGCATAGGAGCTAACGTTACCTAGCTGTAGTTAGGAATTTAGGCTCAATTTATTCCATTAAAGCTGTGTCTGTAAATGAATACATCCCTTGATCAAACGATTCGTGTATCACAAACTCTTTTGTCGAATCATCTATATCACATCCTATGTCTATTTACAGTGACGTTGACACTACCCCAACATTTCTTTAGCTATATAGGCTAGCTAACATAACAAACTGCACTATGTGGTTAGACTTTACTGCTAAACATGGTTTCTTTGTCGCATATACGGTTTAGTTAGATTATATCTCAAATGGCCTGTTTGTAAATGTTATTGTTAGCTAATCGGCTATTTTATATTTCAGGCCTAAGTTTTCATCCCAAAAGGCCATGGGTTCTTGCAAGTTTGCACAACGGAGTCATCCAGCTGTGGGACTATCGGATGTGCACTCTGATTGACAAGTTTGATGAGCATGACGGTAAAACAGTGATATTTAATATTACTCCAACATCCACGTTGTGATCTTGATAGATATGCAATTTGACTGACGTGTCGTTGCCCACAGGTCCCGTCAGAGGCATTGATTTCCACAAACAGCAGCCTCTGTTTGTGTCTGGAGGAGATGATTACAAAATCAAGGTGAGGTTGCGTTTGCCATGAAGAAATATCATCAAGCTCTGAGGCTTGAGCAAAAAACACGTTTTATTTGGAAAGCTATTCTGCACAAAATGTTGTTTTATTGTACCTTTCTTGATGTTATTCGCTCTGGTGTCCATATATCATCTAGGATCTACTCAGAAGTCTATCGTCAAATTTTTACATTAGCTGTCAGAGAAGTGAATGAAGAGGAGGGAGACAGTGGAGGCACTTGTCTGGGTTTGCAATACTGTTAAATGAACGAAATTATGGTTAGACAAATGAAATACAGTTTCAAAGAAAAGTCCTCGCACACTAAGTTAACTCCACTATCCATAGCTTGGGAAACATAAATGGTGTAGTAGTCATAAATGGTGGCTATGCAAACTCTCATTTCAAGGTATTGGAATTAACAAATGGATTCTTCAAATGGTAAATGTCAAGGTTAGTGATTACTCAGTTTTGTCACCTACTATGATGTAGGACAGACACCCAGCTGGAGCAACTCACCAACTCACCCAATCTAATTACCAATAAATCAATGGCAGGAGAGACTTTCCAGTGATGTTTAATGGTTTGTTTCATGGTACTATTATTTCTTGTGGATTTATTATTTCATAGAATTGTTAGATTTCATCAGCATGTTATATCTGTATATGCTGTGTAAATATTCCTGTTTTGACCAGGTGTGGAACTACAAGCTGAGACGCTGCCTCTTCACCCTCCTTGGACACCTTGACTACATCAGAACCACCTTCTTTCACCATGTGAGTTATTATGCCACTTTAAAATACACATTTCCTATCTATTTCATCATTGATTTTGAGGGGCAAATATATTTTATTGCCCATGTGGGGAAAAAAAAAAAGTCTGTAATGAATGAATGAATTATACCATTTCACTGCCTGTAGGAGTACCCCTGGATTCTGAGTGCCTCAGATGACCAGACTATACGCATCTGGAACTGGCAGTCCAGGACCTGCGTCTGGTAAGACACAATGTAGCTTGAACTGTTTTCCCTGTTTCATATAATCACACAAAAGAAAGACATACTTGGAATTTATCTTGATTTTACAAGTTCTGAGATCCCAGAAAAATATTTCACATCCTAAGTGTAAGCCTGGTGCTGATATTCTCATTTTCCCAACAAAGAACTTGATTATGCTGTTGGTCAAATTCATCATAGTGCAACATCTGTTTTGTTTCATCATAGCAACCAGTCACACTGTGTTCTAAAATATTTGAATGTACCCTGTCTTTCCCTCTCGTCCACAGTGTGCTGACCGGCCACAATCACTACGTGATGTGCGCCCAGTTCCATCCATCCGAGGACCTGGTGGTTTCCGCCAGTCTGGACCAGACTGTGCGAGTGTGGGATATCTCCGGTGAGGGCTTGGGGATGGTGGACAGAAGGACAGCGACCTGGGTTTGGGGGGAGGAGTGGGGTTGGTAGTGGGGAGGGGGCAGAGTGGTACAGAGGATAAGGAAGATGTAGGTACAGGACGAATATCAAGTCCTGAACCGCCTCTTCTGCCTCTCCAACTTGTAGATGACAAATCTCTGTGGGCTACTTGCAGAAACACTTCTCCTTTCAGGACAGGCAGAGACAGGAAAATAGATGCAATGTCAGAACATATTTAGAGTGTGGTATTTCTTGATGAAATAATACACACTGTAAATACGCGTTCTGAATGAAGACATAGGTTACAGATCAGAATGTTGCAAGATGTAGGTAAAAAAGACAAACTCGAAATGGGAGAGGTGTTTCTGTGCTTCTGCATGCTATTAAGTTTTTGTTGTTGGTGTTTTTTGCTTCTTGTTTCATGTTCTTTCATCTGCTCATCCTTTCACTAACTAAACCATTAATTAGCTCACATTTCCTATCACTTTCTTACACATGGTCATGCCTAAG